CGCCCGGCCCTCGCACCCTCGCCGTCGACCCCAAAACAGTAGGCCGCGCCACCGCCGGAACCTCGCTGGAGCCTCACCTGAAAACGCCACCTAGGGGAAAAATTAAAAATGCCCAAAAAGCCCCTCAGAGTCCGCACCCCGGAATGGAGCAATGCCGACTACACCGTGATCGGAGGTAAAGCCCTCGAACCCGACCAATTCTCGCTGGAATTGGTCGACATGCTTAATTTCTAAGGGGACACATACCCCGAATTGGTGAAAGAGTTCTATCATCATTTGGTAGCCATTAAGAAGGGCAATAAACTAGAAATCACCGCTAAAGTCCGTGGCAAGGAAATCATACTTTCCGAAGGACGCTTGGCCAAGCTCTTAAGACTGACCACCACGGGTGTGTCAGACTATGACCGGGAAGAATGGATTGGTACCCAAAACACGGGGTACAAGGACTACCTCGGGTACCTACTCGGGAGAGAAGAAGGTTTCACCTTGGCCACTCGGCCAAACAGGAAATGGTTAACCGCGGAGCAAAAGATACTAGTCATGATTATAACTGATAGCCTGTTGCCCACAAATAACAAGAGCAAGGACATAGGAAGTTTCGAGTGCACTTTTGCTTACCTCCTAAAACACAAAATCAAGTTCAATCTACCGGCCTTTATGTTGAAACACATAGAGTTTTGAAAGACTAGCAACCGGCTTAGCCTACCCTACGGGATGATCCTAAGTTGGATCATGGAGAAAAAGGGAGTAGACCTGAGCCACACTGAGGTCAAGACCGCAAACGGCATGGTTTTCAATACCCAGAACCTCCTTCGCAATGACATCTACTACACTGAAGGGGGATAATACATCACTCTCGAAGAGGTTTGCCTTAAGCCCGAGGAAGAACGAAGAGAATTGGTTGACCAACTGGATATCTCCAACAAGAAATTCAAACGGGCAATGCAAGAATGTGGGGGAATGGAGGGAAATGAGGAGCAAGAAGACGAGGGCGAGCCTAACCCACCGATGGCCACTCAGGCAAGGGGAAACCCAAGGGACCAAAACGAAGGGTCCATCAACGAACAAATCATTGCGCAACTCACCCGGCATAACCAAATCATGGACGAAGGGTTCTCATCCCTAATCCGCGCGACACGCGCTTTGGACCAAAGGGTGGCAACTATCGAGGCCGCGTTGGGCACTCGCGGGGCATCCAGCTCAGGAGCAGAAAACGAAGGTAGACCCGAACTTCCCAAACCACCACCTCACCAGAAATCTAGTCTACCCCAGCAAAGATAACACGTGGAGCCACACTTCCTAATCAGGATGCCAAAATACGTGACGTCAGGGCTACCAGCATTATTCGCTGACCGGGTGTTATCCCTACGTTTTACAGGCTTTGCTTAGTTGTGGAGCGCGCTAGTCGTTAGGCATGTGGCATAACGCTTTCCGATTTTAAATAGCTTCCGATTTTGTTTGCTTTGATGATTAGTTATTGATCTATGAATTTATGTTTTTAAAAATGTTGGTAAAATTAGGGTGTTACAGTTTGTATCAGAGCCTAGTGTAACACCCCGTGTTACGGCCCCTAAACCAAATTAATTAATTTATCACCCACCCTAAAAAGGAAATTAAAATCCATTGAATTGCTAAAAAGGGGTCCACCATGGTCCGTGGGCCTTTATCCTTAAAGCCAATCCCTTAGTCCTATAAGAAATAGAATTAGCAAACCCATGCCACTTAGACCCTAATTAAGACTCTTAATTATATAAATAGGGACATAGGAGGCACCTAGAACTCACACCACAGTAATCTCTCACCACACAAGAAGTTCCAAGAAATAAGTTCCAAGAAATCCCTTAGGAGAAATCAAGAAAGACGAAATCTTAAAGAAAGACCCTTCATAGCCAAGGAAATTAATTAAGGCTAAGAGGTAACCCATGTCTCAACAAAACCTATTTTCTTCGCTATAATCTCATTCCTTGGCCTCCTTCTATATGCTTGTGTCTTGATTAATTCCTCTATGCTATTTATATATTCTTGATGATTGATAAGATGATTTATGTGTGTTCTTGGAAATCTTGATGATCTTGATGATGAAAAAACGTTCTAGATATTGATGTAATGATTCTTGACAAATCTTGATATTTCTTGATGTTAAAGATAAATTGTGATTTTGATGAATTTGGAGGGATTTGAGCCCTAGGGTGGATTGGGAATTTGTGTTGTAAAGTTCTTAATATATATATTTGGGTGGGAATTCGCATGTTCGAGTGTTATTTATGTTTAGAAGTCGTAATAGGATGAGTTATACGTGATTCTTACTTTTGATCCATTAATTGACTACATGGTTTCGGGTTCCACAAAGGATCCCGGGACGTAATTGTGATGATAGAGTCAGTGGGGGTAGGGTTACCCGCCACCTACCCGCTGCCCGAAGATCACCGGCAAGCAGCGGGCAGGCGCCGGGTAGGCGTTTGCCCGTCGGCAACCCGCTGCCCGGGTAGTGATCTCTAGCGGGTGACCCTCCACCCACCGGCTACCCGCTGGTCCGTACCCACACCGAGTCGTTGGCTTCCCCGTTTGATGTTCTCCATTCCCCGTGGTGTCCCAACGGACCCCGTTTGTCGTGCTTGAGTCTAGTTTAATATTTTGGGAACCGTTCGTAGGATAAAAGAGTCTTAGGATTTGCATGCTAGTTGAATCAGTAACCCGTTGACCTAGGTGGAAGTCATATGAACCCCTTAGGACAATTCTTAGTATGTGAATGATCACACGTAAGTTTAATTATGTGTCTCCCCTTCCCAATGTGCTATTATGTGCTATTATGTGTTATTGTGTGTTATGTGATGCATGATTCCCCAATTTGGTTGCGATCAAGTTGGCTATACAGGTAGTTGAATGGGCTGAGAACCATCCCAACTGTTAACCAGGCCGGTTGAGATCGGTCAGTTATATAAATATTATATAGGGCTGCGGTAAACTATACGGGCAGTTGAATGGGTTGAGAACCATCCCAACTGTTAACCAGGCCAGTTGCGATTGGTCAGGTATATAAAGATTATATAAGGCTACGGTTCACATGGGTCTCGGTGCTATGACCCGACATGGACGCGCCGGGAGGTGTGTAGAGCCAATAAGCCGAGGAAGGCTGTAGTCCACCGACCTGAGTAATCAGGCGGTGTGTAGGGCTACGGCTGGCTGCGATCCACCGAGTGATGGGACAGCGGTGTGTAGGGCCGTAGTCTTCGAGGATCTTCGCCCCCCGACTGAGTCCCTCAGCGGTGTGTAGGGCTTGATTCGCTATGGTCCACCGACTGTACGCATCAACGGTGTGTAGGGTCTTAAGTCCCCCCTTGTAAAGGGGATCATGGTCCACCGACTGTGCGCGTCAGCGTGTGTAGGATTGTGGTCTGACGTTGAGTTCGTCAGCGGTCCTCTATGGGTTGGTTGCGATCAACTCCCTTCATGCCGCGGTATGAAGTAGGGTGCTGCGGGGCCGTGTTAATGCTATACGCATTAACCCTCATGTTCGGGGCATGCGATTGGTCCCGTGGCGCCAGTTCAGTGTGATTGAGTGTCACAAGTGATGATTAAATGATGATTGAATGATGATATGATTGATGTGGAAATAGACTGTGACCTTAGTTGTGTATTCTTTATGATGATCCTCCTTAACTATTATTATTGATTGTGTGCTTACCCTATTTGCTTAGTCCGTTCCTGGTTTTAAAACTAGTGTCTCTTAAGTATATATCTTCCTGCTTCAAAATGATTTTTCGTATATCTATATATATATGTATATATATATATATATATATATATATATCTATATATATATATATATATATATATATATATATATATATATATAATGTATTTCAATGCGTTGGAGTGGGTTACTGGCATCATTTGCTGAACAGATATATTTGGCTTTCAGGCACAGTTAATTAGCTCCCAGAGCACGCTAGAAGAGCTTGGAGTAGATAGATAGTTTTCCTTTTTGGCCTGCGTGCCACAATGATATATCGAGGATAATTAGTTAGTTTAGCCTATGCATCTGAGTTCTCCAGGTCAGATGTGGCATAGTACCCCGCACCCTTATGTTTAGTGATACTCTATTTTGGGATTTAATGAGAATTTACCTTTATTATATAAGTTTTAAAAGTTTCAAAATTTCGGGGTGTTACACCTAGGTTTGAGCCTAGGATGTTAAGAGTTTGACTTTATGAAGTTAAGTGTGATTTAAGGCTCTAAGTTGACCTTTAAGTTCCTAAGTATTAGGACGCGTGGTGAGGTGTGAGTGTGTTTATCGTTTGTGTGTTTATCCTGCTGTTCTTGTTTCGTCTTAAGCGCCGGGTAAGGGTGCGCAGCTTCTTTGTGTCTTGCCGTAACCGTATTGTTTCTGTAGAATCTCGCTATAGCTCCACCTCGTCATCGTGCTCGTACCTCGGAGACGCCTACAAATGAGCAGTTGGCTCAGAACCTGCAGCATCTGACTCAGACGATGCATACGTTGAGCGACGCCCTCTTGCATAACAACAACCCTCCTCTGCCGCTTCCTGCTGGGAATCGGGATGTGAGCCGCTTAGTTTTGGGGCATAGGCTGCCCGTCTTTGCTGGAGAAGAGGACCATGTCTTGCTTGAGGAGTGGATCAGGTCCTTGGACAAGATTTTCGTTGTGGTGGGTTGTCCGGATGATCGCCGCGTCGAGTTGGCTTCGTTCTACTTTAGCCAAGAGGCCGACCTTTGGTGGGTGCATGAAGGGTATCGGGGTTGTTACATGTCTTTATTCCAAGAATTCCTCTTGAGCCATCAAAGGACGAAAATTGTCCAATACCCTTTAAAAGAACCCAATTTCCTATTAAAGTGTGTTTTGCCATGACAATTAACAAAGCTCAAGGGCAACACTAGATTTTGATGGAATCTACTTGAAAGAGCCAGTTTTTAGTCATGGACAGTTGTATGTGGTTATGTCTCGGGCAAAAAAAACTGATTCTGTCAAGATGATTATATTCAGTGATGATGGTCACAACAAACTAACTAATATTACAAATAATATTGTTTATCAAGAAATCTTGGACTACATTTCTCAAACAACTGTTGCACCAGACAAAACTAACACCATGTCCGACGTTTATTGATGTGAGTTTTGTTTACCCTCTTATTTCAAATTTATAAATAAATATCATTTTGATATACAAATTATTTGCAATTGACAACTATTTATCTCCCATGTGTCACAGGATCTCTGGAGAACAATATGTGAAAGCTGTTGAATTGAGACAATTGAATTCAAGTGATATGTATATCTAGATTTGACAAATCCTCTATGGTTCATTAAATTAGGGTGACATGTTATTCAAAATGAGACCAGGTAATTTCTAAATTCAATTCACTCTTTTTTCTTGTTTTCAAATTTTTACTATTAAGTTTCCTAGCTTATTAATTGAGGAATAGTCCAATTTTTAATCATCAATTTCAATTGTTTTTCTTTTTAGTGTTGATAGCGACATTAAGAAAAGCATATATAGAAAGCATAATGTTGACAACATAATAAAATATTTAATTATTATACTGTGAAGTGCTATGAATGTATAAGTAATTTACGTAAATTTTAATTTTAATTTTATTCATTGATAATCTACCAATTGCTTCCACGATATTGAAAAATTATAGTTAAATAAGAATTGCCAGAGCAATGATTTCTTTGTGGTTCAAAACTATTAAAAACGATTAAAAATTAATAAAAACGAAAAAATAAACTCCATCAGATTAATTACAAATATGAGGTGATATTATGTTTATTAGACAATTAGAATCTAAATCTTCTTTAACATGGTCAATGAACATAGTTGGACCAAAGCACGTTTTTTTAGTTTTATTTTATTCTGAATACATACTTCATAGTTTTTGAAACTGTATCAATTTGAGTAGGAATGAGAACATGTGTATATACATATTTTGGGTACTTAAGATAACTACAATTATGAATTGTAATGACAAAAGATTACAGATTACAATATTGAATGATGCGTTTAGAGAACTAACTATAGCCCACAAACAGTAGCATAACCATACTTGTTTGAATTTATACTGAAGTTAACAAAAGATAACTTTATTCAGGTTTGCATAGAGGATGTGATGGTTCACATATTATTGGATTCCCAGACCACAATATGAATTTAGAAAGGAGACAACTCAAACTGAAAGAAAAAGGCATTTAAACAAATTTTATTCATTTTCAATTGCTTTTACATCAATGTGCTTTTACCTGTGAAATTTAATTTCAAATTACTAATGTGAATTACGTGTGAAAAAATACGAAAACATCAACAAAATACATTTTAGGTGAATATTTGCGAAACTTAGTCAAATTAAAAAAATAAAACAACACAAATGCAATTCATCTATCTGAAAATTGTGACACCCCGTAAATCCAAACACTAATCAAGGATTAATTAGAGAATTAATCCTAGTCTCTTTGTTAATTTATTCCTAAAATTTCTGAAATTCAATAGTCGAGGGACTAGATTTTGACTAGTCACTTAAGTCAAAGGGTTGTACCTTTTGCTTCTTGAGTTGTGCCCTTGTTCCCTTGTCTTTCCAACATTAGTAAGGGTAGGAATGTCTTTCTACCTAAGGTTTGTGATTCAAGCTAACCTAGCAACACTCTCTCATTTCATTCACCCTACAATCTAAACACAAAAATCTCTAGCCCTCTCTAAAAAGAGTTAGCTTCATCTCCAAGCTAGGATTTGAGCATCCAAGTCTTGCAAGTTTTTCTTCCAACATTCCTACTTTCTTCATCTTGAGCATAGGGGGGGGGGGTAAGATCCTTGGTCCTTTGATGTTTTTAACCTCCTTATAGGTGTCTTTTTCTAAAGATAGAATCTTTGTTGTCTTTTGGTTTGTGTATGAAGTTAGTGTGGAAGAAGAGCTTTAGGAAAGGCTTTCTAAGGGTGAAAAGAGGAAGTTATTAGGCTACAAAGGTAACCCATGCTTTACAAAACCTATTTTCTTACTTATATGGTGATTTCTTGGCTTCTACTTGTGATTCTTGTGTTGATATGTGAGATTTGATGCATTGTCTTGTGCTGATGCATGTTTAGAGCTTGTTTTTAGGGTTCTTGAATGCCAGTGCTTGGCTATTTCTTGGGTTCAAGTCATATTGTTGTTGTGTGTGAGATTTTGGGTGTTTTGGACTTGAATTTGGACTTGTTGTTGAAAATCCCCGAAGGGATGTTTTGGTGTACAGGGTGTACCCGTGGGCGGAACGGCGGGCAGAGGCCTACCCGCCGCCCCACCCGCGGGGAACAATGTCTCGTGGGTGATGTACCCGCAGGCAGAACCGCAGGTGGTTGTCCACCCGTGGCCCCACCCGCGGGGAACGTGTATGGTGGTTGGCGGGGATTTTTTCCCCGTGATTCTTTTGACTCGGTATTGATGTTTTGACCTCTCGGTGTTGTTTTATTGGGCTATTTGTGAGTCCTCTTGATGTTTCGTATGTCTAGAACGGTGTGTTAGGAATCTATGTAGGATTTGGTGTCTTGAATCGTGCTAAGGGTCCGACTTTGTAATTTGTTGGACTAATGTGAGTCTTGAATGTTCTTTGGAACTACTTTTGGTTTACCCGTTTGATAAACATGCTAGTTTGATGTTGAAATGCTAGTATGTGTAGTTTGTTCCTTCTTATTGGGATTAGCAACTTGTGTTGACAATCATTTAGTGTTGGATTGTAATCCTTTGTTGATTGAGTATGGGCTCATATCTTCATTGTGATCTCTTGATTGATTCCTATGATGTGAACGTATGCAATTCGCTGTACCCTTTGTTGATACTTGATTGAGGCTATTGTTGAGCCTTAGTGTTCTTGGTAATGAAGATGACTCGTGTGACTATGATTTATATGTTGATGGTTGTTACTTGAGCTTGGCTCACATGTTGGTGGTTGTGTGAGATGAATCGTACCCTCGTGTACTGATATGTTGGTGGAAATGTTGGTGGATGTTGGTGGGGAACCGTAGGCATAAGGTTGGACTCAGAAGTACAGGGGTTACTCGGAGGTAATGGTTGGAACTGAAATAAGGCCGGGGGTAGCCATAAGGTTGGAACTATGATACTTGTGACATGTAGTTGTCACTGTGGCATGTAGTTGCCAATGTGTGAATGTGATTCCTTGCTTATGAGCATGTCTTGACGTATTCTACTTTGTCACTGTGGCATCCTGAGTTGTTTGTCTCTTATGTTTGATGTCTTGTCGTGTTGTGAGGATAGTATATGTTATGTTATTTCCCTCTTTGCAAAATAAAAATAATTTCTTCAATTCTTTCCCTCTTTGCAAATTTTTAGTTAGCGCGAATTTTTCCCTCTTTGCAAATTTTCCCTTCGACAGTTCGACTAACACCGCCCAGTGCTCTCCGCCGTTCCCAACTCTCTATTGCAAATTTTCCATCTCCTCAGTCAGTCTCACGCCGCCTAGTGATCTCCGCCGAGAGTGTCGTCTTGCCGCATCCAACCTCCGACGCCGTCGCTGCCTCCAACCTCCGACGCCGTCACTGCCTCCAACCTCTGCCGCCATCTGTAACACCCCAATTTTCATATCCAAAATTTCCTTAAATTTTTTTTCTTAATTTACAATTTACTAAAATCATAGCGGAAGCATTAACTAATCAAAAGAAAATGGGTGTTACCAACAACCTAAGTGCTAAGGCTAAATTTACAATTTACAATAAACAACTCAAAATATGTACTGGTACAAAAACAACTAACAATTCAACTGTCTAACTAATAAATGATATCTCTAGGTGGTTCGCTCATTCTCATGCCCAATGCTCATGCAAGAGTTGCTGCAAAAACAATTAAAGAATAGAAAACAAAGAAACACACAAATTCAACATTAAGCTTGTAAGATCTACTTCACCCCGTAAAACATTTTGCACATAGCATGTAACACATAGGAGCAGATAGTTTGCATCTAGAATGACCCTTTAAACATTTTTATCATCTCATCAATACCAATAATCTTTAACTTTAACCATTTAAAATATAAATGTTGAGGAAACCACACATTCAAGTACAAAAATATCTATAACAACTTCTAGCAAAACGACTAAGGCATTGCCTATCCATAATCCAAAATCATTCAACCATTATTCTTTCCTCAAGATTCATCATATAACAGTCACCTCAACGTTTCCATATAACCATATCCTCAAAACATTTCATAACATCATTAACACTCAAAATTCCTTTAGATCATACTATAATCGCCAAAATAATTTCCAATAATAACCCAAGAGATACTTTCAACATCTATCTAAAATCAATAACCAAAGAGAGAGTTTCAACCTCTCAAAATAATCTCAGAATATTATTACCGAAGAGAGAATTCCAATCTCTCAATTTATCTCTTTCCAAGAGAACATCTTCCAATAATACATTTGAATTTCTCAAAATCAACCACACTTGATATATATAAATTTCCAGGAAGAAATGGGTACCAAATGGATGATTTTCAAATTCTCAAAAATATATTTTCCATGAACAGGGAGTTTTCTCGGCTCCCTAGTGAGTCAGCTTTTACATCACTGCTCACTCATCAAAACAACAGGGAAGTTAATATAAAACTCCCTAGTGAGTCAGTATATCTCAACTGCTCCCTTCACTCCACAAAACAGAGAGTTTTTAGGCTCCCTAGTGAGTCAGTATATTCCAACTGCTCACTCCACAAAAACACCAAATGGCACCACTTTCCATTGACAAAATATATATATCTATAACCTCAAAAATTCACTTCCTAAATCCAAATCTTTACTCCCAAATATTACATTCAAGTTTACACCTGAATCTATAACCTTTGTACCAATATTTCCAAAAATGTATTTCCAAACATCCACTTAACCACATAGATATAACACAGATTAGCGTATTCCACACCTAATTATTATGAACACAACTCTCCATATTTATAAGAAATGATAACAGTAATGATATTTCACAAGCAAGCAACTTCTCAATATCTCAAATAAGAAACTGAATTTTTTTCAGAAACTATGACCTGAATTGCAGAATTTACTGAGAAAAATCGGTAACAGATTTTCATATGAAATTCTCCAGATAAGTATTACAAAGAGTCCAGACTACACACAAAAAGTTTCAAGCCAATCCAAGGGCTAGAAGTATTTTTCCAGAAATATTTCCCAACACTGCGCCAGACAGAAATTAAACTGGCAGTACACTGCCTCAACTTCACGAAATTTTTCTGGAAAAACTGAAACATATTTTTAACCAAAACTTTTTACCAACATCAAATATAACAAGTCTAGGTTATCCATAAAAAAGTTCAAGCAAATATAAGTTTAGGAAGCATTTTTCACGAATTGTTCTTCCCAGCTACGCCAGTCAGAATTTTCTTAGGCAATGATCAAATTGAGTAAGATTTTTCCTTTTTAATCACCACAAAATCACCATATCACA